ACGGGCTCTTGTTGATGATGTTTCGGTCCAGTACGTTGGGCCTGACCCAAAGGGCCTACTTGCGCTTGATTTGGCTGTGAGAATATTTCAGGAGGACTCGAGAGTGCTTGGTTCTTGCTTTAATGACAAGAAGTCGGGACCGGTTGCCGCAACGGCGGCTTCTCGTCAGATTTTGCGAGGCTTTAAGTTTGCACATCGGCCGTGGATGCGTAACCTCGGTCACGAGACTTTCGGCATTCGCCCTATTCGGTTGCAAGAGAAGGCCCGCTTTCGTGATCTCCAGAAGCGACGTCATCGTCTCCATCTGTTTCGCCAAGTTGCTGGTCGTAAGAACTCAGTGATCTGGCGGGCAGGAGCACAACCAGCTGTGGCTCATGGTGCAGGCGTTTCGGGCATGACCGACTCAGCTCTTGTCACGGCCAGGTCAGTCGCTGCTACCATGGTGGGGGCACCGCCGAGAGCGCACAAGACGGCCTATTTGTACTGTCAGTGGCAGGTGCGTTACGATCCGATTTTTGATGCGACGACGGCGCTGTTGTGTCGGCTGCATTGCTTTATCTGGGATGCACGTGTGCCCCTCAGTGCGCTTCGACATGCATGGTTGAGTTTGGCAGAGCGTGTTAACGACAAAGGGCTGACCTGGGCGGCGGTCCGCGGCCCACTGAGTGCTGCCTGGCTCACACTTAACAAAATTGGCTGGACATTTCTTGGACCTCATCACTGGCGTAGCGACCAAGGTGAGGACTTTGATCTTCTGCGAGTGGCACCAGCCGACATGAAGGTATTGCTTGACGAATCGATCAAGCGGTGGCAGGTGCAGCGGCTGGCTTATCACTTGCCTGTGCAGGAGGCGTCTCACGATGTCTGGGAACGAGCTCTTCGACTTGGGCTTCGTGACTTGAGGCAGGCGCCGCTTGGAGCGCTGAGGGCACTGTGGGCTGATCGGTACCCCACTGCTGCCCGCCTTGCTGCATGGGGAAAAGATGTGAAGGTGCACTGTGCAGCCTGTCAGTCAGATGATGGATCTTTCGGGCATGTTTGGCATGAATGTCCCAGCTTGTTGCAGCCCAATGAGAGCGAGGAGGCTTCTGGCGTTGAGGTTTTGTGTGAGCGACACGCTTCTCATCGGGATGCTCTGCGAGCTCTTGGACACCGCCCCCCGCTCGATCCTGAGTTTGACAGACTATAGTTTAGTTATGGTTTTCCGAGGCTCTCGATCCAGCTTCCATCCCCGCCTGAATCTTCGGTGGTCTGGGAGTGGGGTGACGTTGGGGGTGAGTGGGGGCCTGTTACTTTCGGGGATGGAAGCGCACAGCACCCCGCCGCGCCTGAAGTTAGGCGCGCAGGGTGGGCCATAGTTTAGCTCAACGATGCGCTCCTCCCTGGCCGTGCGGTGTTTGGATCCCTGGAGGGTGCTGTCCAGACCGTGGGCAGAGCGGAGAGAACTGCGCTCCTGCATGCCATGAGGCGTAATCCCAGCTTGGAGGTTTTTGTTTCGGATTTGCTTTCTCTGGTTCAGGAAGGCTTGTCTTGGGACCCTGAATTGGCGTGCGGAATGAACAGATACGCTGCCATTTGGAGGAGTGTCTTTGAGTTGGCGCAGCGTAGGCCCGCCCAGGGCCCTCCCCCTTCACTTCGTCTGGACCCCTGCTCACCTCTCTCTGGAGGAAGTCCTGGAGCGAAAGCTGGACCCGATAACCTGGATCGGGAATGCTTGGGCCGACCTGTTTGCCAAGCTAGCGTCGACAAGGGCCATGATAGCTAGAACGACGGCCGAGGCGGTCGCAGGCGAACTCAAGTTTCATCGTGCTACCATCGATTATATTTCCTGGGCTGCTGCCAGGCTCGCTCGACTCCGACGGTGGACCTCACTGCCACCGCCGTCGAGAGTGTGTCGACCCCAGCCTGCGCCGCAGCTCAGCTTGCATGGTCACTCTTCTTTCCTAGACCCTGATTCAGGGGAGGTGAGATGTATCTCATGTTTTGTCGGGGCCTGGACCTGCAGCACCTTGGCGCATCTGTGTAGCGGCCCCTCCAAGTTTTGCCGACCCTCGGCCCTTTCAGCCCTCGAGGGGCAAGAGTGGTTGCGGGTGCGAAATCGAGCGCGGCCTGTGAAGGCCGCGGCTGTGGTCGAAGCGGACCAGGCCCTTGTGGCTGAGGGTCTGCTGCCGCCACCTCCCCCCCCTGGAAACCCCTCGGGAAACGAGAGAGAGGCGGCCATATGTGATTTTGAGTCGAGAGGTCACACGATTGAGAAGTATGATCGTGTGATGATTTGCTCCATCTGTGCTGGCTTTGCGTCGCTCCCGCATGGTGCCCCTCGTGCTCTGATGGCCAAGTGTCAGGGCGCATCCAAGGTTCCATCAACCAGGGACAAGCAGTTGCGGAAGCTTTCCAAGGCCTCCAGAGGCTTGCACCCTTCTACGGGTGAGGTCCTATCCTGTGCGCAGGGCCCCTCTCCCTCCTCGCCTATGTCCCCCCCTCAGGCGAATCCCTCCACGTCATCCATGGTGGCCAGAGCCCCCCGATTTGAGGAGGCCGCCGCTGCCGATGGTGGGGGGGTCGGGCGGAGCGGGCGGGGGGGGGTGTCGGATGACTCTGACTAACTCGTTTTGTTCTTCGGCGTCGGCGCTGCTGCCGTCGCCCGCCGCCGCCGCTGGCGGCCGCCTCCTGTGCGCGAAGTGCAGCAAGCTCGCGCCAGGCGCGCCCTGCTGTCTCCCGCGTGCCCTCCTTTCCTAGCCTAGGGTTGTTCGTTCCCGCGGACGACCCTTCTGTCGGCGCCGCCACCTATTCCGATTCCTACTCCGATTCCTGTTCCTATTCCTCTTCCTCTTCCTCTTCCTCTTCCTCTTCCTCCTCTTCCTCCTCCTCTTCCTCCTCCTCCTCCTCTTCCTCCTCCTCCTCCTCTTGATCCTCCTTCTCTTCCTCCTACTCCTCCTACCCCTCCTCCTCCTCCTCCTACTCATCCCCCTCCCCCCGGGCCCCTCAAGCCCGCCGCCCGCGCGGCCGCCGCCGTTCGGCTTCGCTCCAACGGCCCGCAGTCGCCGGCATCACTGAGGACGCCGCCTTGGCCTCCGTCTCTGCCCGGCGACCCACGGGACCGGAAGGTCAGGCCACGCGCCTACCAAGAGTCCCTTGCCCTCCTCGAACATGGGGAAGGGCGGTACGTGGGGGAAATCCGATCTCGTCGCCTGCGAGGATAATTCTGCCGGTGCCCGCCTTGGCCTGGAGTCTCTTGGAGTCGCAGGTATCGTTGGCTCTGAGTCGCTCATCTCGTCGCCACCGCCGCCAGACGATGCTTGGAAACTCATGGAGGCGAGGGTGTCGTAGACACTGGCCTTCTTTTCGATGGTGCCGCTCACCTCGTCTCTGCCGCCGCCAACCGTCTCCTGGAAACTCATGGTATCGAGAGTGAGGCTGTCCTTTCTGGTTTGCGTTTTCGGCTGGGGCTCGACGTTGTCGAGAGCGCCGTCGTCTGGGTTGCGCGTGCCGCTTTCCGCGCCCTGGCCACTGCGGTGTACGAGCCTTCGACGTCGAGTGTTCAACAACGTCCAGGCGCAACATGGGTATGGTAGGTTCGCGTCGTCTCGAATGGCGGCGACCCCGCCGCCCAAGTTCATCGTTGAGCGCCGCCGGCGACCCAGAATCGGTCGATGTTGAACGATGTGGCGTTTCGGTTCACGGCCCAGTGTTCTAGGTTGAACGATCCCCGCGGTGTCAAGAACGAACGCCGAAGCGGGCACGACACGAACCTGCCGTATGAGGATTTGCCCGCTTGTTTCATTGCCCCTGATCTTGGCCCGCACGATGCCGCCGCTTGTTTTGCCGCTGGCCACCGAGCCTAGTACCTTACTGGTGTTCATGGGGTCGTAACCCGGGCCTGCCCGCGCGCGCGCCGCTGGCTGCGCGGCTGCTGCGCCTGCTCGGCTGGCTCGGTCGGCGTGTCACACGCAGGCCACCAGAGCGACAGTCAGAGGGCAAAGGGAAGGAGGAGGAGGAGGAGGAGGAGGAGGAGGAGGAGGAGGAGGAGGATGAGGAGGAGGAGGAGGAGGAGGAGGAGGAGGAGGAGGAGGAGGAGGAGGAGGAGGAGGAGGAGGAGGAGGAGGAGGAGGAGGAGGAGGAGGAGGAGGAGGAGGAGAGGAGGAGGAGGAGGAGGAGGAGGAGGAGAGGAGGGAGGAGGAGGAGGAGGAGGAGGAGGGAGGAGGAGGAGGAGGAGGAGGGAGGAGGGAAGAGGAGGAGGAGGAGGAGGAGGAGGAGGAGGAGGAGAGAGGAGGAGGGGGAGGAGGAGGAGGGGGAGGGGGGGGAGGAGGAGAGGAGGAGGAGGAGGAGGAGGAGGAGGAGGAGCGGCGGCCAGGACTGCCCCACCCTCTGCATACCGCCCTGCTCGCACCGGCTCCTCCTGTCGATCCCCGCCGGGGCACGCAGGCTGCGATGGCCCACGGGCCTCCGGCAGGCGCGTGTGGCGAGGAGGGGGCGGGGGGCCGGGAGGGAGAGGGGTGCGAGCCAGGGAGGCAGTGAGGAGGGGACGAGGAGCAGCAGGGGCCCCTCGAGCGCCGCACCGGTCCGCGACGCGGGCCCCGGGAGTCCCCGACACCTTCCCGCCGGACAGTCTGTCTGTTTCGTCGTCCAGCGTTCCGTCGGGCCTATAGCTCCACAGGGGAATCTTCAAACATTGCATTAAGAAATACGCACGGGACGATTACTTTCTACCATGTTCTACTATCCTCGAATATGTTTGAAGAAGCCTTGCATTCTTGCCCAGAACTCCGCCCGCAGGAGGACATGCCCGACCTGAGTCCAGAGCTGCTTCTTGCCGGCAGCGTGCCCGCACCTCGGGCAACGGCGACCGGAAGCCAGAACCTCGGAAACAGGCTCGCCTGTTGCTCGAGGCCGCGCCCCGATGCCGAGGGCAGCAGGAGCCCGCAGGACTCCGACGGGCAGGGCCGGCCCCGGGGGCCATGGCCGCGGTGCCGCCCCGAGCCCCGGCCCCGCCGGCGCAGGCTCCAGGGACACGACGAGGGGCGGCCGCGGAACCTTCGGGACCCGGGAGACGTGGATCGGCGTCGCGGCGCGCGAGAAGAACTGGGTCCCCGGCCCAGGCGCCGGGGAGCACTGTCGGGCCGAACGAAAGGGGGGGATAGGGAAAGGGGGGGTTTCGAAAAATCTGCTGCATGCAGCTGGTTTCAGCCCCACCGAGTGGCCCATCCCTCGATACATGGCAGCCTCTGGCGCTGGGAGGCGCCGGGGAAATCAGCTACGTGAGCTGATTCTCAAACCCCCCCTTTGCTATTCCCCCCCTTTCGCCCGGCCCGAAGCACCGCCGACGCTCAGGGACAACATTCGGGGGGGCTGGACTCAGGGGGGGATGCATCGGCCCCCAGGCGCCCGTGCATGGAATGCCGGTGGAGGCCCGATCGCCCACCCCGCCGAGGACCGTGCGGATTCGTTGTCGGGGCCTATCGCCCACCCACTGGTGATGTCTATCGCCGATTCCAGGTCGATGTTCCCCCCCTCGGTTGGTTCCCCCCCCATCGTTGACCCTCAGATGAGCTTCGAGGAGAGAGGTAATGAGGTTGGCGGACAGTTGTTTGTGCAGAGGCCTCTGGGGACCTCTGGAGAAGCCTGAAGACCCGCGAAGAGACTTCACAGTCAGAGTGGGGAAGGCAGCACCAGGATGTCTGATAGCAGTTGTCGGAGGCCCAGAGCATGGACACCAACAGCAATATCGGCGGTGTGCCTCCACCGAGGGAAAATGATCCCGATCTCGGTGATTGTGTCGATCTTCGGGCTTCCTAGGTGGCCGAAACATTACACCCACCACCATACTCTAGTATCAGATTCCCCCAGTGGAGGCACCCCCCTGTGTTGGTGTTGCCCTTTTCCAAGCCTCCAAGGGTTCTGCCCAGTTAGACAGGAATTGATGTTCAGCACCGGGTGGCCAGGCCTTGGCGGGGGACAAGGGGCGAAGAGCAGTTTTGCCCAGCATATGATATGAGATTGGCGCTGCCCTTCTCCCCACGGGCTGGCCTGGCGGCGTGCGAAGAGAGAGCTCAGCGTGCAGCGGAAGTAGCACAGGATCGTGCGTCCGAAATTGTGATGCTGCGCTGCTGCAGGCTCCATCCCCCACTGCGCGAGCTCTTCTGCCCGGCCTTCCTCGTCCCTCCCGCCCTGGTGGGCTTGTTTTGTTTTCCTCCACCACCACCACCACACCATAAGTTGGAGGAGGGAAGGAGGCGGGGAAGAAGAGGAGGAAGAAGAGGAGGAGAAGGAGGAGGACCCTAGCTAGAACCATCGCACGCGCTTCGCGCGCGCTCAAGTTCTAGCTAGGGTCATGATCATCGTCATAATTATCATCCCCATCATTGTCCTCCTCCTCCTTCTCATCCTCCTCCTCGTCCTCTTCCTCCCCCTCCTGCTCCTCCTCCTCATCCTCCTCCTCCTCCTTGTCCTCCTCCTCCTTTCTTGTATCAACGCACCTGGGCCCCTCCTACTTGTGGTGGTGGAGGTGGACAACAAGCCCGCCACGCCCCCCCCATATCGCGTCCGCGACTGCGGGACCTTAGGGCGGGCAGCACGACTCCTGTGGTGTCGCGGGGGCCCCCTCCGCGGCCCGCGCTGCGGTGCTCCACGTGGGAGGGAGAAAATCTGGGGGCTCAATCCTGTTCATCCTCCTCCTCCTCCATCCTCCATCCTCCACCCTCCCTCCTCCCCCCTTCCTCCCTCCTCCTCCCTCCTCACTCCTCATCCTCCATCCTCCTCCTCCTCCGCCTCCTCCTCCTCCTCCCTCCTCCTCCTCCTCCGCTTTCTCCCCCCTCCTCGCTGCTCCTCCTCCTCCGCTCATCCTCTTCTTTTTCCTTCGCCTCCTCTCCCCTTATCCTTCTCCCCTGACCCTCCTCCTCCTCCTCCTCCTCCTCCTCCTTCTCCTCCTCCTCTCCTTCTCCTCCTCCTCTCCGCCTCTCAATCCTCCCCCCCCTCATCCTCGTCCTCCTTCCTCCCCTTATTCTCCTCCTCCTCCCCCTCCTCCCCTCCCCTCCTCCTCCTCCTCCTCCCCTCCTCCCTCCTCCTCCTTCCTCCTCCTCCTCCTCCTTCTCCTTCTCCACCCCCCCCTCCTCCCACCCTCCCCTCACTCCTCCTCCTCCTCCTCCTCCTCCTCCTCCTCCTCCTCCTCCTCCTCCTCCTCCTCCTCCTCCTCCTCCTCCTCCTCCTCCTCCTCCTCCTCGCCCCTCCTCTCTCCTCCTCCTCCTCCTCCTCCTCCTCCTCCTCCTCCTCCTTCCTCCTCCTCCTCCTCCTCTCCCTCCCCTCCCCCCCCCCCTCCGCCTGCCGCCTCCTCCTCCTTCCTCCTGCCTCCTCCTTCTCCTCCTCCTCCTCCTCCTCCTCCTCCTACTCCTCCGCCTCCTCCCGCCTCCTCCTCCTCCTGTCCTCCTTCCTCCTCCCTCCTCCTCCTCCTCCTCCTCCTCCTCCTCCTCCTCCTCTCCTCCTCCTCCTCCTCCTCTCCTACTCCTCCTCCTCCCTCCTCCTCCTCCTCCTCCTCCTCCTCCCCCGCTCCCCCCTCCCCCTCCTCCTCCTCCCCTCCTCTCCTCCTCTCCTCCTCCTCCTCCTCCTCCTCCTCCTCCTCCTCCTGCCCCTCCTCCTCCTCCTCCTCTCCTACCTCCTCCTCCGCCTCCTCCTCCTCCTCCTCCTCCTCCTCCTCCTCCTCCTCCTCCTCCTCCTCCTCCTCCTCCTCCTCCTCCCCGCGGGGGGGCTCCTGCTCAGCGCTTCCGTGCGCGAGCTCCCGCGTGCTCAGAAGCGCCTTCAAGACGAGCCGCGGGGCGGGGAGCGGACGCCCCGAACGGCCGAGTGAGGACGAGGCACGCACGCTCGTGACGCGACGCCACCGTCGCAATCGAATCGGCGGCGAGCGAGGGGGAAGTGAGATGGAGAAGGACTTCTCAGAAGGCGGCGGGACTTCTCAGAAGCCCTCGCCCCTTCTGAGAAGTTTTCTGCGTCTTCGGGGAAGGTTCAAGAAACTTCTCGGCAGGCTGAGGGACTTCCGAGCCTCCTGAGAAGACCTCCTTCTCACTTCCCCCTGGGCTCGCCGCCGATATAAGATGTACAATCGGACCGAGGTGTAAGGTCGAGATTGGTTCGGGGAGGGTACCCTCATGTTATTCGGTTATTCGTGCTTGTTGGACGTTCCTGTGCACCCTGGGGAGGGTGCCCTTGGGTGTCCTGTGTAGTTTAGCCGGCGGAGGGTCTCGTGCTCCTGAGGGATGTGTGGTCTGTCCAAGGTTTGACTGTAAGGGACGCCCACGTACCGATTGCACCCAGCGTTGCAGGTGGCCCGTCTCCTTCCTGAGGCATCGCGGCAGTCTCGAGACGCCCGATGCTGAGCGCGGCACCCGAGCGGGAAGAGCCCGGTGGTGCAGGAGGACAGGGAGGGATGGAGGGAAGGATGGGGGGAGAAGGAAGAGGGTGAGGGAGGGAGGGAGGGGGGAAGGAGGAGGAGGAGGAGGACGAGGAGGAGGAGGAGGAGGAGAGGAGGAGGAGGGAGGGGAGGAGGGTGAGGGAGGGACTAGGGAGGGGGGAAGGGAGGGAGGGAGGGGGAGGGAGGGAGGAGGGAAGGGAGGGAGGGAGGGAGGGGGGGAGGGAAGGAGGGAGAGGGGTGGGAGGAGGGAGGGAGCGAGGTGGGTGGAGAGAGGAGGGAGGGGAGGGAGGGAGGAGGGAGTGAGGGAGGCAGGGAGGGAGAGGGGGGGAGGAGGGTAGGAGAGAGGCGCAGGGGGGGAGGCAAGGCGCCGAGCCGGCGGGGAGGGGAAGGCAGCAGACAGCCGGCACCAGTCGGGGCAGGGAGGGAGCAGGAGGAGGGAGCGGGGCAGTGCACACCGCGCAGCGGCGCCGGGCGGTCGAGTGGCCGTGGCGCATGCTGGGCGAGCAGCGCAGAGAAACAACTCAAGTCTAGAATACGCTTAAGAGGAACCAGCATGCCACCCACAACAACAGCAACAGCAACAACAGCAGCAGCAACAACATCAACAACGGCAACACCCATAGGAATGACAGTAAGGGTGGCATCAACAGCAATAACAATAATATCAACACCAGCAGCGACAGCATCAACAGCGGCAGCCACAACCATATCATCATTACCATTCACTACAACATGTATAACAATACAAATAATACTGAGAACTATGCGATCAGCAGCAACAGTATTATCAACAGCGGCAACATTACCAACAACAGAAACAGCAACAATAAGAACCACAACCACAACACCAACATCACAACAATAACACACATAATATCCAACTACACGAAAAACAAGAACAGAGGGCCATTGGCAGGCCGAGCCAGGTGGCGGGTGATGGCCAGAGCCGAAGCACACACACACATACGCACACTCACACTGGCACGCTGGTCGTTGACAGTAGGTGTGTCTGGACCCCCAGGTCCCAATCTACTCTTAGGCGCCTTCCCACTTCAGGAGTCGAGCGTATTCCCGCTTCCCTCCTCTTCGGGGGTCGCGCGCAAGCCCAATCTATTCTCAAAGCCTCCATGTTTCATGTTTCTATCCACTTCTCCAGGAAGGGTCGAGACGGCGGGCGACGCCTCGGGGAGGCGCCTTCATTACCATCCTAGAGCAACTCATCGCCTCCACGGTGGAGGATGAGGAGGACGACGAGGAGGGGGAAAAACCAGAGCCTCCCACGGACGAAGAAGTGCTGACTGATTTTAGCTCTGACGAGCATGTGAAGATCCAGGCCCACACCCGCGTGGCTGCTAGGAAAGCCACTGCGCCAGCGCGCAAGCCCACTCAGTTTGTAACCCCACCCCACCCCCCGAACCTTCTCAGCAGAAGAGCGGCGGCTGATTAGGTTACATAATAAATTGTTTCAGATCTTCTGAAGTTCTGGGCTTGTCATTGGACTCCTGGTTATCTCATTCTGCGAGTTAGTGGCCGCTGCCCGGTTGCCGACCTTGGGCAAGGATGTGGCGGAGGGAGGGTCCTTGGTGGCGTATGATCCGGGGGTTTTGGTACACGACCTGGAGTTCGGTGGTTCTAGATTTGCATTTGGCTGGCCACATTCGCACCTGCCTTCCTCGCGAGCGCGTCTCACCGACAACCATAAGTGGGACACATGGCGAGCAAAGTCCAACGCGTGACTACAGACCGATCGGCTGTAAGTTTTCCGCGTAAGGTCGCACGCAAGCGCCATCTTTCGTGCGCGTGTTGCTCCGTTGACGGCCTGCGTGAGTCACACCGAGTCGAAGCGCCCCGTCCTCTCCGGCGCGCCCGTCCTGTAGCGCAAACGCGACATGTTGTAAGACGGCCTGCCGCCTCACCAGGACAGATTGTTGTCTTGGCGGGCGGCGCGCTCTGAGCCCATAAGAGTTGCGCCAGGACGACCCCAGAGGCGGGAGATCGCCGCGATGGCAGGACGCTGCGCTCTTCGCGGTGCTCGGCTGGCTGCCGCCCCTCCCGGGCTCGGGGTCCGTCGAGCGACGATGCAGGAGGAGAAGCTAAGCCTGGGCCCCTGCGTCCAGGACCTGCTCTCCTCAGGACCTTCTCATTCAGCATCTCTTTTCCTCTCCCACGTCCTTCCCCCTCCCTCCGTCCTCGTCGTTCTTCTTCACCTTCGCCCTCCTCGTCGTTCTCACCCCCCGTCCTCGCCGTCCTCGTCGTCGTCGTTTCTCATCCGGTCTGGCGCGCAGCGGCTCGCCCCTGGCGGGCGTGCTGACCAGGCGCCTACAGGTCGGACCGCGAGTTCCTGTGCAACGAGAAGGACGAGATCGACTCGAACAAGACGATCCAGGAGGGGAGTGGAGGGGGGATCGGCGCTCCGAGGTGGGGTCGCTCTTCGGAAGCCTCTGATGACCCCTGATGGCCTCCAGAGACCTCCCGAGGCCTCGACCCAGAGGTCAGAAAGTCCCCCGACCTGTGCAAGTCCGAAGGTGACGCGGGAGTGCTCTCCGAAAGAGGGCACAACACTCTTCTTTCGACTTTGGCATTCGCACCACCTCCAAGCGGTAGCCCGTGGCATGGTCATCTCGCCATTGCAGAGGGCTCGTCATCCAGAAAGTCCTTCGTGAGCGTCGTTGCTGATGTGGGGAAGGCCAACAAACACATCAGCATGACATTCGGACTCCCGCGTGGACGGACGGCCTTTCTGCCGTCGCGGAAGCCGCCCCTGCCCACACCCGTGGGCCAAGTACAGTCAAGACATTGCAGTTCGGACATATTAGGCAGGAGTTGGGCGAGGATTATGACATGTATTCAATGCGTGAATTACCTACCCCGCTTTCGCTTCCAGGCAAAACCAAGTCATACCACGCGCCTCCTCGTCAAGCGGCCTGACCAGTACAAGCCGTGGTTTGGCATCGCTTGGTATCTCTTGGAAGCGAGGGTGGTCAAAAGCGAGGTAGGTCTGTTTGCCCCCTATGTATATGTGAGATGAATGAGTGAGCCGGTGTGAGCGGTGAGGAGCAGGAGGGAAGCGGCAGAAGACAGGAGGTGGAGGATAGTGGTGGATAGGGGGCATTCGTGGGGTATCTTGCCAGCCACACAGCTTCGGAGGGAGGGTGCAGTTCGACCGAAGTGAGATTCGGGGCAGCAGGTTTTTCACGGCCGTGGAGAGGAGGGGAGCAGAACGAGGAGACGGGGATCGACAGAGGACTGCAGCCTTATCGTTAGGTGGGCCCTTCCGCTCCTTGTCTGCCTCATCGCTGTTTTCTGATTTCCGCTGCTTGTCGCGTATCTTCCTTTCAACCCGAGTCTTCTAGCGATCTTTCCGCATCAGCGGCGGCCGCAGCAATTCGGCACCCGCCGTCAGGAGTGCGCCCCCGACTACTCCTTCCCGAAGGACGTCAAGGAGACTAGCATGAGGCCAGAGGACGTGAAGCCCAAGAGGCGCGGATGCTTGCGCGGTTCGCGCATACCAGTTCCTGTCTCACAGCGGTGGCATTGACAGCTTGTGCGGTTCTCCCATGTCAGTCCCATCTAAGTGCAGTGGTATTTTCCCTTGGACTCCTGACTCCAGTCGATCGCGAGACACGCGGAATGATCGTTACGTAGCACCCCGCAGTTGCGGATAAGAGTGAGGGGACGGCGGGGTCATTGGCAGGCTTCGAGGCTCTGAAGAAACCCGCCGCAGGCGCCGTTTTTTTTCAACCCTTGCACAACGAGCCCGCCGCAGGCGCCGAATGGTAATCAAAGAATTGCTGACAGGTCGCGGGTGTGTCGTGAGGTGGGTCGCGGAGTTGATTGCATAGAGGGTCGCGGGCGGGTCGCGGGCGAGGACAACGACAACATCAACGCAGTAACAGCAACAACAACAACAATCATCATTTTCTGATTGCTCGATCTTACATGCTCGCGTGCACCTCAACACGTATATCCCAAGCCCTCGGTACCCTCCTTCTTCGTCTTCGATCGTACCCCTTGGGGGCACTTTCCTTGTCTGCCAAGTGCATTTAGCGCAGCCCCTAGAGCAGGGGAAAAGAGGACGGATGGTAGGGGGAGGGAGTAGAGTGGAGCACGAGAGAAATCAGAAGGAGGGGGGCTAGGAGCAGAGAACACGTGGCTGAACCAGACGGGCAGATCGGGCGGGCAGACCTTAGCGGGCGGGTCGGGCAGGCGGATGCTAAAGCGTGAGTCCAGTCGCGAGGATGCCTCGAGCGATATCGCGGTTCCCAAGCGAACCGTGAGAAGGGCCAAGAGCGAAAGCGTGATTCCTGAGGGTCGAGGGCGCGGCGTCGCAAGAAATGGGAAGGAAGTCCCGCGCGAGTGAGGGATCCCTGCATGCACTGTGAGGATGTCCCGCGCGCGAGCGCACTTTTGGAGTACAGTGCGAGGAAGTATCAGGTGGAAGTTGTTTTTGTAGCCGGGGGGCAGGGGCCCAGTTTGAGGACGTAGACTCTTCTTGATAGAAAGTAGTATGCGAGTCCCGAAAGGGGCATCTCAATTGAAAGAAGTAATGTGCACAGCTGGGGGCGGATCAGCAAAAAGTTTGTTTCAAAGGCTGAGAGTCCAACAAAAACAACAACAGTAATCAGTTTCAGACTGTTCGTTCTTAAAGGCCCGCGTGCCATTCATCACGTATATCCCAAACCCTCATTTCCCCCCTTCGTCTTCTATCGTACCCCTTTGGGGGTATATCGTCCTTACCGGCCATGGGCATGTAGCGCAGCCCCTAGAAAAGGGAAGACAGGGGGGTCGTCTTCGACCTTCTTGGGCCCCTCTTGGGCCTCTTTTGGGCCATCTTGGGGCCATCTTGAGGCTTCCAAAGCCCATCGGAAGCGAAAAGGCGATAATGCCAAAAACATGGATTTTCCCTAGGCTTTTGAAGGGTTTGGGCATCTTGGAGGGCGCCGTGGAGGGCTCGGAGTGCACTTGGATCCGTCTTGGGGCTGTCTTGGGGCCTCTTGGGGGTATGTCGGAGGCTATCTTGACCCATCTTGAAGTAGCATGGGCCATCTTGGAGGCCATCTTGCGACTTTGAAGCCCTCTTGGAGCCTTCTTGGGCCATCTTGGACGCTGCGGCGCCTCCGTCCCCCCCCCTCCCAGGCCCAGGGGAGGGGGTAGGGGGAGGGGCAGAGAGAAGAAACACTCGCGGTATACCACCTAAGCCCAGAGGGCTGGTGGGATTGTGAGGAAGTATCGAGCGGGAGCCGTTGTCGTCGTAGCTGGGCCTACACGGGCCCACTTTTACATTCAAGCCAACGCTCGAGCGGGAGCCCCGTTTTCAAAGAAATGTAGCCGGCGTCGAGGCGAGAGCGCCCGGAACCGTTTCCCGAGATCAACAGGCATGATCTCTTAAAAGTGAATATTCAACAGCAACAGCAGCAGCAACAACAATCATTTTACCCTCCTGCACCATGCATCTAAATGCCATATGCAAACTTCATGATGTCACCCCTTCTTAGGAAAAATATGAAAGAAAGGGGCGATCTTTCCCACACCCAGATCCACCGCCCAAGGAGGTAAAGCCAAAACCTCTCCCGAGGCACTGTCCATATTCAGCTCGCACGACACAGAAACAATTCTGTGCGACTTTGGGAGCGATGCGGATTCGAATCGCGAAGGACTCGAGCCCCCGTCGGGAGGCAATCTATGATCTAGGGTGGTTCCCCCCTCTCCTCCCAATGCATATGGGATCGAGCCCCCCCCCCGTTGGATGGGTACGCCCGCGAGCCTCGCGAAAGCCTTGCGAATGTGATCGCTCCCCCCCTGTGGTCGTGGCCCTGTGAGCGTGGCGTGGTGGAGGGTGCAGGTGCACCCTCCCTCCCTCCCCCTGTGGATGTGGGGTGGTTCGTCGCCGTCGTCGTCGCCGTCATGGTCATCGTCCGTCGTCATCGGCGTCGTCGGCGTCGGCGTCGTCGGCGGCGGCGGCAGCAGCGTCGTCGTCGACGTTATCGTCGTCGTCGCCATGGTCATGGTTCGTAAACATCGGCGTCGTCGTCGTCGGCGGCGGCGGCAGCGTCGCCGTCGTCGGCGGCGGCGTCGGCGTCGGCGTCGGCGTCGGCGTCGGCGTCGTGGCCCCCCCCATCCCATCTGAGGGGGGTGGCCTGTGGAACCTTGGGACCCATCCCATCTGGGGGGGGGGGCCTGCGAACCCTCGACCCAGGATCCTCTCTCTCTCTCTTTCTTTTGTTGTTCTCTCTCTCTCTTTCTCTCTTTCTCTCTCTCTCTCTCTCTCTCTCTCTTTCTATCTATGTACACACATACATTTACATACATATCAGAGTGAGGGGGCCGAGCGGTCATTGTCCTGGGTGCGTGCCTGAAGTGGAAATATGTGGTGAGGATTCTGCTTGTTGCTGTTGAGTTCTCACTTCTGAAGAATAATTCTAGTTGGTCCAACCCGCCCGGTGCACGTTGTACTTGTTCGATTGAAGTGCCCCTCCCGGTGCTCGCACCTGTTTTTTTTGATCAGGGACAGTCTTGAGACTCAAATTGTGTCGTTGGCCCCCGGTTTACAGCAACAACGGCTCCCGCCTGATAGATCCTCACAACTTATTGAAGAATCGCGTTCTCGCTTTGGACTTCCTGGCAATTTACCACCGAATCGCGGCTCCCGCTTGATACTTCTTGACAGTTTATTGCATTTACTCGTTTGGGATTCCTCGCAACTTACAATCAAACCGCTTCGTTTGATAGTTCCTCATAATTTATTCAGATGCCAGTCCTCGACACTCAGGAATCGCGCTCCCGCTACATATTGCCTGGCGGTTCGAGCAGGACTCACGCTTCAACGACCCGCCCGCTCGACCCGCCCGTCGGGGCCTGCCCGCCCGACCAGCCCGTTAATGACTGCAGTCGCCGCTCGCTGCCCTTCGCCGGCCTTCGATGCCCCTCGCTGCCCGTACTGATTCCGCGGTCGCCTTCGCTCGCTGCCCTTCGTGGCCCCGTTGCTGCCCTCAGTGGCTCCGTCGCTGCCCTTGGGTCCCGCAGTATTTGCCCTTCGTGGCCCCCGCTCGTACGCGCTCGTCGCGGCCCCATACGCATGCCCTTCGTAGCCCCGCTGTCACCCTTCGTGGCACCCTCGCTGCCCTTCGTGGCCCCTTTGCTGCCCTCAGTGGCCCCGCTGTCGCCCTTACTGGCCCCGTATACGAATGCCCTTCGTGGCCCCCGCTCGCTCGCGCCCGTCGTTACCCCATATGCATGCCCTTCGTGGCCCCGCTGTCGCCCTTTGTGGCCCACAAGCTGCCCTTCGTGGCCCCAGTGCTGCCCTCAACGGCCCCGTCGCTCCCCTCTGTGTCCTCGGATTTTATGCCCTTCGTTGCCCACGCTGGCTTCTCTCACGATTCTTAGGAATCGCGCTATCGCTCGAGACTTCCTCGCGATTCATGGAGGACCCACGCTTCAGCAAGCCGCCTGCTCGACCTCGTTGCCTGTGCCCACCATGGGTCTACCCACGCGATCTGCCCGTCTGGTTCTACCACTTGTTCTCTGATCCTTGCCCCCCTCCTGCTAATTTCTCTCGTGCTCCATGATTATCCCTCCCCTTTCTACCCGTCCTCTCTTCCCTTGTTTCATGGGCTGCACTAACTGTACGTGGCAAGTAAGGAAGATATACCCTCAAGGGTACGATCGAAGACGACGAGGGCTGGTACCGAGGGTTTGGGATATACGTATTGATTAGCACGTGAGCAGAAAGGCACGAGCAGTCTTAACATGGTTGTTGTTGTTGGTTGTTGTTGTTGCTGTTGTTGTTGCTGTTGTTAATGTTATTGTTAGTATTGTTGATTGTTGCTGATGGTGTTGTTGTTGCCCCCCGCGACCCACCCCAAGACCCACCCCGCGACCCACCCAGCGACCCACCCCGCGACCCACCAGCGACCCAACCCGCGACCCACCAGCGACCCAACCCGCGACCCACCCGCGACCCACCCGCGACCCACCCGCGACCCACCCCGCGACCCACCCGCGACCCGCCCCGCGACCCATCGGCGACCCACCCGCGACCCACCCGCGACCCGCGACCCACCCTCGACCGATCCACATTGGTTTGAAGAAAAATGGGCGCTTGCGGCGAGCTCGTCGTATAATTTGTGAAATGTTGGTGCCCGCGGCGGCTCCAGAGTCTCGCAGACTGCCGACGTCCCCACCGCCCCCTCAATCTTATCCGCATCTGCGGGGTGCTACGTAGAAATACAGGAACAGACGTGGGCACACAACGGATTCGAAGGGCAATCGATAGGAAGATATTAGAACTCAACAGGTCCGAGCCCCAGGAAAGGAGCGCTCCATAGAAACATATGTAAACATACAGAAGGGGTCGAACCCCAGGGGCGACGAAGCCTCTGTGAACGAAGCCTACGGGGGCGAAACCTACGGGGGGGACCGAACATCACACTCCGAACACAGATCTCAGCACA